CCTTGTAATTTAGATAAACAATATTTACACTGAGCTATATGTTTAGTGTTACCTTCATTATCCACCTCGTCAATTATGTCGAAGTGATCCCAAACTGTCGAGGTACGCTTGCATTTTCTCCTGGAGGTTGCAACACTTGCCGACGCAGACGCAGACGCAGTCGCACTTGCTGCCACTTCACCACGCCCACTATTGCGACCACGACCTCCAGTACGTCCACCATGGCTTGGATTAGTAGATTGCATTTGCTGCGTAACAAACTCATTAGTGGGAAATTGCCCTTCTTCTACATTGTGTTGGGCATCAACGGGAATACCACTATAACCAAAAGAATCCATTATAAAAAAATAAGATGAATTTGATAGAAAGAGAGCTTTAGAAAAATTGTGAGAGAGATTGAGAGAAATTGAGAGAGATTGAGCGGGATTGAGAGCGTTTGAGTGAGAAAAATGTGTGAGGGATGGGGGGTATTTATAGGAAAATTTTGGGGTTAAAAAAAGATTTTTTTTTCAAAAAAAACGGGATAAAACGGCTAGATTTTTGAAATTCGGGTTTCGGGCAGTCGGGCAACCTCGGGCAGCTCGGGTTTTCGGGCAAAATTCAAAAAACTAGCCGTTTTCGGGCAACTCGGGTTTTTGGGCAGAATTCGGGTAAAAATTCAAAAAACTAGCCGTTTTCGGGCAATTTGGGCAACTCGGGTTTTCTGGCAGAATTCAGGCAAAATTCAAAAAACTAGCCGTTTTCGGGTATTCGGGCAATTCGGGCAACTCAGGCGGGTCGGGCAATTCGGGCAGGCGGGAAAAATTCAGGCAAAATTCAAAAAAATTCAAAAATTCAGGCTTCGGGTCGGGCAATTCGGGCACACCTAATTTTCGGGCAATTTTCGGGTCGAGCAGTTTGGGCTTGGTCGGAAAAATTCAAAAATATCCCGGCAGACGGCGGTATGCGGTGGTTAGACGGCGGCGGGCAAGGGTGGACATGCCAAATTCAGGCTGCCCGAGCCCGAACCTGAATTTCTTGCTTGGGCGGACGGGAATTTGACCGGCCCGCCCGAGCCCGAAAAAATTCAGGCTTCGGGCGGCCCGCCGACCTGAAGTTCCAACACTACTTTTATGTCATCCCTAACGTTGGGAATTGTTCGAATTATGATGGACCCCACACATTAGAGGGGAGTATGTGAAATGAGTCGTAGGCATTTTAGCTTTCGAGAAATTGTGGTAAATAATATATTTTTAAAACTATAATAAGTAAATAATAAATTTTAAAACTTTTTAAGTAAATAGTAGTTTATTGTATAAAGT